ACCCCCACCCTCACCACCCATGACCACTGAGCTCTGCCCCCACCCAAATGTCATCATACTCCACACAGACTGTGGCAACTCCCCCACAAGCTGCTCAAGGCCTTCAAAATGCCCAGACTCTTAAATATCACAAAGCTTGACCAATGTCACATGGTCCCCACCAGGATCCCCTTCTGTCCTTGACCATCTTATTTTATCGTAGAATCACCCTCACCAGATGCATCCACCAACTTGCACTCTGGGGGGCCATCCCCAATTCTCCCCAGACTCACCGCCTGCTGTTTGCTCTGAAATTCCAGCTCTCGCTCCCGCCGGTATTGTTCCACTTCCATCTGTGCCTCTTCCTTTGCCTGCTTCAGACGCCGGGCCTTCCCTGGAAGCAAAAAAAGGATGGGGGTGAGTGAACCCGACACAAAATGTGATAGTGGGGGTCAGTCCTTTCCAGAAAGTTATTCTGCGCTCAGCCAACCAGGTGCTAGATTCTAACACCCATTTCTTCCCTTCTAATCAGCCACCCCAGCCCCCAGCTCTCTCCCCAGCAGGCTTGGGTACCTCAGGACTCAAATGTTTGCTGTCCACACACCCCCAATTTTCTTTCCAGACTTCTAAGGGAGGAAGGGGGAGACTCACTCTTTCTGGCATCTGCCACCTTCTCAGCCGCCCGTTTCTCTGCTTGCAGGAGTTGCTGGATACCCTGGGATTGACTGGCCATTTCTGTCGTTATGGCAGATTCTGTTTCAGATGCTACCAAGGTACCAGATGGCTCCCAGCCCCCCACCCCACCGCCTACTTCTCCCCTTCCAGCTCGTTGCTGCAGTCCTCCACTATCCCTGGGTCTTAGTGCTCCCCCTTTCGCTTAGCCTGCACCGGGTGTCTCCCCAAAACTGATCCTCCCAATGGTGGCTGGTCCTCCTCCGCCACCTCTCCATCTGGCAGTACCGAGGAGGACCTCTCGGGGGCAGCAGAGACCAAGCCCAAAGCGGCCCAGTCCGGAGGTCGAGGAATGGGGGCCGGGGCTGAGAGGAGGGTATTAGGGAGAGAAGGAGGCACGAGGGGTTGAGACTGCGTGAGAAAGTAAGGAAGTCACCATCCGCGGTGCGTTGGGAAGAGTACGTTGGACTTCTGAATTCGGCCAATATCTCCTCCCTTTTCTCTCCCACCCGTTTCCATTTCTTCTCTATCTTTTCCAAGTCCAAACTTCTGCATCCATCTCACCTGCCTTTTATGTGTTTTCATGCCTCTTTTTCTCTTTTTGATCTGCCCCCGTTCTCAGCCTCAATGTGGTTTTGTTTTTCTTTTTCACTGTGATTTTTATTCCCTTATCTCTCCTGTTTTCTCTCTTTTCTCATCTTTTCATCTATCTCGGAACCACTACTCTCTCTTCCCAGTTGGGGAGTCGGGGTAAACCTCCAGGCCGCCCTCCTTTTTCTGCGCCTACCCTCCAGTTTCCCGGTTCCAGGTAGACCCTTTATCTTAAGTTCCCTAGTTTCCCCCCGAGGCCAGACCGCGGAAACACACCTCCCCTCCCCCACCACCGCGCGTCCTCGGGGAGGAACGACATCCGGTAATGCGCCTTAGGTCATTTCCGCCCTTTATCTGCGTCTCAGTTGCGCCGTTTCCGCCAGCCTAGAGTGTCTCCGCCTTCCTGCGTCCCTCGCTCCGACTGGTTCCTCGGGGGTCCGGGGCAGGTCTGATGAGTAGCCCGCCCCCCGCCCCCCCCCCCCCCCGCAAATCCAAAAAAAGAAACCCCACCCCCCCCCCCCGCGAGGCGAGAGGGAAAAGCCCCCCCCCCCCCCCCCCCGCGAGGTCCAGAGGGAGAAGCCTTTATTTTGCATCATTAGACCGGGTGCATTATATTCAATTTCTAGATCATTACTTGAAATTGTCCATGACTTTAAAATTCTAATTTCTGTTGATAAACATTTCCCCTATCAGTCCCTTTTCCCCTTTTTCAAAGTTCTTTATTTAAGATTTAGCGCTGCTAATGAGCCGCAATGTGATATGAGAACCCGGCCGAAGGGAGGGACGGGATGGCCGGGCTGGCGGGCGGGCCGGCGAGGCTGGTCCCTCTGATGCCTCTTTTCCTTCTTCAGCCGCGAGTCCCATGGCCTCCACGGCCCGCCGCCGGCGCCGAGAGCGTCGCTTCCGGCGGTACTTGTCTGCGGGCCGGCTGGCCCGGGCCCAGGCCCTCCTGCAGCGGCACCCCGGCCTGGATGTCGATGCTGGGCGGCCCCCGCCACTGCACCGGGCCTGTGCCCGCCACGATGCCCCCGCCCTGTGCCTGCTGCTTCGGCTCGGGGCTGACCCTGCCCGCCCGGACCGCCACGGAAACACGGCGCTGCACGCTGCCGCCCGCCGCGGGCCTGGTGGTGAGTGTGCCCGCGGGACAGCTCATGAGCCACGGAGCGTCCTGGGACCTAGGGCGTAGATGACCAAGTTGGCATTGGCCGTCACCTGTGCCATTACCATACTGAACTACCGTTGTCTGAGGAGCCCAACACTCAGGGTCACAGCTTTCTAGATTAGTAGCTCCTTTGTCTCTCCAGTGGTCGTTTGCCTGAAGTGCAAAAGGTAGCATAGAGGGTAGGCTTTAGAGCTGGGTGCCTGGGTTCAAATCCCAGCCGCACTCTTAATAGCTGGAACTTCTTGGGCAAGGTACCAAACTTCGTTTACCCACGTGCAAAATTAAATCATAACAACCCTTGCTATGTGCCAGGCACTTCTCACAAAGTAACTCGTTTAGTCCTCACAACAACCGTGTAAGTACTAACAGAGAAGTAATTTGCCAAAATAGTGCATCAGTGATTGTAACCCAGGCAGCCCGGGCAGGGCGCTGTCCTGTGACAGGTACAGAATTGTTACAGAAATACCCAGTGATGGTGCCTGTGCTCAGCACCCCATGCCGGGGCGAGTGCTAAGACTCTACGAAGCAGTACACATGGCAAGCCCTCGGTAGACACTCACCGCTGTCCTGCCTGTTATCAGCATATCCATACTCCCTTACCCAGGATTCTGAAACAAAAACACTGAGAGGCAAGCATTTACAGCAGCCCGCCACCAGACTCGTTCTGTGGCAGAGCCTGACCTGACGAGAGTGAGGCCATCTACCATTGGTCTTTATCATGCTGATGTCACCATTCAGAAGCTTTCCGCGTGT